AGGATGTAAACAACTACAGTTTTATATGGACAGCTAACTAAGGAAACTTACTTCCTCAAGAACAATGGCTGACATTAATGCAATCAGACGATTCCGATTGAGCTCACGGCCACTGGAATCCACAGCAGCAGATCTGGGATAAAGACATAGTCAGGAAAATACATGACATGCATACTAGATTAACGCATGGATTGTAAAAATCGTTACCTGTCAACATCTGTATCAAAAATAATTCCCAAATCAGCCTTGTTATGAAAAACTGACTGGGTGATAGCTTTCATTGCTGCCTTGTCCTCCGGGTTAGGAATATGATTGGGGAATAAACCTGACATCAAAATTGGTTTATCCTCATGACATGCAAATATAACACTCTCCCTATATTTTCAGTATTAATATTACCATCCGGCTCCAAGAACTGACTGCCGGTAGTAATTGCCCCCAGAGGCTCAAGCACCTTTGCCTGATATCCAATAAAAAATAATTCTTATTGTTAATTTATGGAATTAGTGGAAAAGGCATCAAGTTTATCTAGCAAAAGACAATTGTTTAAACGACATAAATTCGTGATTTTTCCAAGTAGAAGATAATTAATTCAACTAGAAGGTAAGTGAATCAAAGCATAAACTTGAGGGATTGCAAATATGAATGTCAGAAATTTTTCACAAGATGGGAACCATTCATTATAGTTTTCTTCTGTAGATAACACAGGTGATGCAGCCTGTAATGTTTATTAGCCAAGATTTTAAATGAACTCATTGCCAGTAAAATAACATTGAAATGCAGTTACCCACTACTTTTCCCAGCACTAGATTAAAATAACAATTTGAGGATGTCAGTAAATGACTTCATCAAAGTCATCCTATCATATCTCATAACACTGCCACCTAATGTGTCAAAATGTGACAAAAAAGACGAATTGTGTTTTAAATTTTACAAGACATAAAAGTTATAGCATTGATCTGCCTCTACTATGTTCAAATTTATTTTTAGGTGTCAAAAAAGAACATCTGCCATTACTCTTTTCCTTTTTTTATCTCTCTCTTTTTTCTTTTTGACCTCTTCTCACTTGCTTCTAAAGGATGGATTGTTGCATTGAAACACTTCGGTAACGTTTGGTCCACATAAAAGGGGATGGTTTCAGAAAAGGGGAATGAGGTACAAGGAAAAAGTGCATGAGGTGAATGGCCTTCACGTATAACATTCCAGAATCTAACAGAAGACATGGATTTAATTGAAGACATAAAATGAAATGGTAAAATAAAACCTGAGCAGCCAAACATAAAAATAATAATAATTAAAAATAATTAGGCTTCTCAAAATAAAAGCAGCCTTTATATGTAGTAAAGAATAAAGTACCCTTCTGCTTGCAATAGTGGAGAGAATTCAACTTAGGATTTATATAATTGAAACTTACAGCAAAAAATCCTCCAGCTCCATTCCCCGCATCAACAACTATATGAAACCCCTCCAGTGGCTTCTCTGAGATTGAGAACAGATAATGATGGTGAGTGTACGGTTCCATAGCAGTTAAAGGGAATAACCAAATGTAACAAACAAATAAGTACTGAGAAGCAAGGGGGAAGAAAAGTGATGATTAGTGCAACAACTTAATACATTAGACCTACTTAGTGGACAACAAGTTCCAATGGAACTGCACTTCACATTGTAAAAGAAAGATTCTCAAAATTCCCTTCAGCAAATTTTCTTAACATTTAAAACTACAAAACCATTTGGGGAATACTACCTATATTTCCTGCAGCTTTGCGAACTGCTGCTACAAGATCAGATGTATAAACATCCATGTAATCAACTCTCTTTACAGATGAAGAAGCTTTTCTTTCTGCATCTTTCAAACTTTCGATTGTAAAGTTATTGTATATATTTGCAGCCCGCTCCAAGATGTCCTTAATATCTGCTTTTCCAAGCCCTCCAGCATTTGTGAAGAATTTCAAACCATTCCTGTTATAAGGAAGATGACTTGCTGGTTTGCAGACATATGTTAGAAATTTTGTCAACTGATATGATTTGCATGTGAAAACATTCAGCATGCTCTGAATTACAGGTGCAGAACTAAGGTACACTGAAAGTGAGAAAGAAATCTAAACCCAACCACTTAAAAAATAGATTCTGCACTTAATAGTTTGACCAATAGTCTCACCAGATATCCAAGACCAGGTCTTTTTGAAAGGTTTATACTAGTTAACTGACTTCATAAGATCTATTGAAGGAATTTGGTTGTGTTTACCTGTTATCATAATCGATCCATCAACTGGACATAAGAAGTCATGATCTTCAGTGATTGTGCTATTAAACATAGCTGGTGTGGACGCTAATCTACAACAAGGAGAAAACAACGCATGGTTAAGGCAAGCATATACTTGGTCACAAGGAAAGCAACACATTCCCAAAGTTCATAAGCATCAAGCACTAAGTAAATGACCAAAAAATAAATAATAAACTCAGAAAAATGATACTGTTTCTCAAATCACTTGAACCAAAGTAATAAGACATTGACCAATTAATGAAGCAACTAATTATTGAACCACTGTAGCATCATAAACACAATATATTGAACTCAATAAATTCAATAATGTTGAAGAAGTGAAACGATATCATATTTTTATGTGTTATGTGACTTTAAATGTATAAATTAGTGATTAATAGACTTCAAAAAAAGAGTTAATTACATTGTACCATGTGGTTAAGCCCAAATTGGCAAAATCCCACAACTCCTGTGGTTCAAAAATGTACATTCAAACCCCCTAACCTTTGGATTACATGTGAAATAAAAAAACCTAACGGGGTTAATATTTTCTACAAAATGTCTAAAGTACTCTTTCTCTAATTTATTCTGTTTTCTCTCTCCACCACCCATTATCTTCCGAAACCACCACCACCACCACCACCACCATGGTGGTGGTGCTGTAGCAGCAGTGGTGACGGTGGTTATGGTGGCAAGGTGATGGAAATGGTGGGACAAGCAAGATGAAGAAAATGGGAGAAAAAGTTTAAGAAAAAAACAAAAGTACTGTAATATTGCCACCAAGACTCATTTCATCACAGTAAAAATGCACCTAATCAACATGTGATGTGAGTAACATGCACCATTATCTTTAATGGACTCATCACTTTTGCACTTCAATCAAAACCAAAGGGGATTGAATGTACATTTTTCAACCACAAGGAGTTTAGTGTTTTGGACCTAACCACAAGTGTAGTTAACCCCCAAAAAATAGTAACAATAGACTACATTTCTATGAGTATGCTTGACTCCAATGTCCCAAGCATGACAAGAGGCTTACACACAACAAAGTAAAATGGGTTACTAGGCATTAAGCACTAGTGCAATTCCCATCAACTAAATTTTAATATTTACAAAAAATATTAGGTTGGATATTATGGACTTATCACCGTGGAGTCCAGATCACACAGGTCAATTTGGCTCTAATGTCTCAACAGGTTTAAACCCATGTAAAATCTCTTGTCATAAATAAAAAATAACAAATCCTACTATATGGTAGTGTGCAGCTTTCACGCCACTCAATTCAGTGGCGGCTCCAGAAATTTTGTTCAGAGTAGACATTCAATAACTTAAATTGGAATTTATATAAAAGAAATCACATTTTTCTATATCTATATCATCCACTTCCAGTAAATCTCTTAATTTAAACTTCTCAAATCACCAAAAAAAAAATATATATATATATATATTACAAAATATTGATACTATTGTTTTAATCTAAAATAAAAAAAAATAAATATTTGGAGTTCTACAATTGTTCTCGAGGAGTCATGTGACTCATAAGCTATATTTACCAAGACACCTATTTTTCAGGTATTAACTTTTTTTCTTTCTTTTCTTTTCTTTTTTCTTTTTTTGGATAAAAATAAATAAATAAATAAATAAAAATTAAAATAACTCAGAAAATGGAGTCTATGGATTAGATGTATTTTGGATGTGACCCACACTACCACAACTTTATCTATACCATACATTTTACTTTCTAAGCACTCTTTCTGGATACATAGTGTTTCTGATGAGGGAACTACATTTAAAATTAAAAGAGATTGTGAATGAGTTGTGGGGTGGGTGTGCAAAGTTGAAGTGAGTGAAATGGGTGTTCAAGATTTACGGGATGGGAATTCAAAATATGTGAACTTGGGTGTTCAAATTCTAAGGAGTGGGCCAATTAAAAAATATAATACCATTATATATATACAAACCTTACTCAATTACCATGACTTGAACAGAAACTCAAGCACAAAAGTCTATTAAATTAATTGGACTAACTTAACATGTTTTGATTTTAAAAATAAATATTAAGAAAAGACACACCCATATTGAATGACATCCAGGCCAGCCCCAGCTATTCCTCGAGAAACTGCATCCTGAAATTTGCATAACATAACTCTCAGCAATTATTGAAAACATGAGTGAATTGTGAATATTTCCGAATACATGTTATAAGTTTCTTTTGAAACAATGACTCTGCACCACAAATCCTTCCCTTTTTCCCTTTTTCTTTTTAACATCATGGGAAGCTCAGTTACGGCAATTATTTTGGAGAAGAAAAAGGAACTGAATGTGAACTTTAGATTTTAAGCATCAAAGATACTAGTCCAAAAGGTTCACGCAGATTTGGTAAATAATATGCCACTTTAATATATAGCTCGACAAGTATTTGGGTCATGCGCTTAGCCACATTTAAACTTTAAATATATATATACTTGATGAAGTTCACCTATTTCTTTAAGGTTTGCAATTGCAGGTATTATTATTTTCATTATTGACATGCATCATGGGTGAGGTCTGTGGATGACCCACATCACTCAAACAAGACACTATATAATTTTTATTAGATAGATGAGGAAATACTAATATGATACATTAGAAAATTCATCATCATCTACGACCTTGCCACTAATCCCTTCCTAAACTGTTTAACCGACTGTCTAGAGTCATTGCGAATGAAAGTTCTGAGATAAAGTAACATCAATTAACCAAATAGGAGATCATGCAACCTGATGAACGGTTTGCATAAGGATTGAAGCATTAATATTGAATTTATTAACCTCATGGAAACATTTGTTTTCCAGAGGTTGTTTCAGGCATAAATAGCTTAATCCAAGTCAATTTATACTCAATATTGGCAGCACATCTGACAACAAGCTTTCAAAAATTGACAATAGTAGTTTTTGATAGCGCAATTCAGCACCTGAAACTGAATGTATTAAGTGAAAATTAATTAAGCCTATTTGATAATTACAATTAATATCACTTAAAAATTTAAGTGGCTCTTCAAATGTAGGCTAAAAGTCTGAAATTTTTTAAGTGATTGAAAACTTACTTAATGCTAAGTAAATTTATAAATACTTATACACAAGCATTGACTTAGACCGTTAACCTCACCACTACTTCCATGACCACTATCACTAATGCTACTCCTACCACCGTCATTGCCACCACCACGACCACCATCACGCCACTACTACAACTACTACTACTACCACCACCACCACTACCATTACTGCCACCACGTCACCGCCACCGCCGCCACCTTCATCACTATTGACATCGTTGGCATAAGCACCACCATCATTTTACTACAACCACCACAATCTCCACTACTATTACCACCACCTCTCCACTACCATTAAAACACCTACTACAACCCTCACCTCCACAACCATTACCATCGTTGCCATAACCACCACCATCATTCTACCACCACAATCACCACCATTTAAGAAGCATGGACATAGATGCAGATGTGGACAAGGACAAGAGACACGGTGATTTCAAAAAAATGGAGACACGAACACAGCAATAAAATAATTTTTTTCATATATTTTTATTTGCTATGTAGACTAATATTACTTGTATCCACAAACAATCAAAACTAACAAAATCTAATACTAATTCGATATTTAAAAATAAATAAATAAATCATCACTTTCAAATTAACACTTATCATTTATATATTTTTTATGCATAATCTATTAAGTATTTAAATTTAAGAAAACAATAATAAATGCTCCTTTGGACAGACGGAAATCCTATTCCTAGGGCATTGGATAGGCATCAGAGCCATCAAGGAGTGGCAAGCACCTACCAACTACGTTACACGGACTCGGGTGTAGGTATCGGGTGCGGGTGCATATCTGGGGGTCGGACACTTCAAAACTAAAAATTGAGGATATGTGGATATGGATCCAAATGTAGATACAGGTACGAGGATACGTTAAATAGTTATTTTTAAAATATATTTACTATATAAAGATGAGTTAAATAGCTATTTTTTAAATATATTTATTATATGAACATGAGTTATTAAAAGTTGACCCAACAATTTTTTTATAAATAGGAACAAACATATGGATAAGTCACATAACAACTCATGTTATTGTTGAATAGAGTTTACAAATAGGCCCAAACATTTTATTTATTTATTTGGATCCAACCCATCAGAGTTTATTATGATACAAACCAGCCAATAAGCCCAAGCTTTTTATTTATTTTTTTGGGTCCAGACCATTAGGGTTTATAATATTAACTAGCCAATAGGCCCAAGCTTTCTATTTATTTATTTGGTCTAGCCCATTAGGGTTTGATACAAACAAGCAGTAGCAGTCAGTCAAACCTTCTCCTCTTCGCTTCTCTCTCACACGCATAGCAACACGCGATGGAGTTTGTCTCTTCTCTTCTCTCACACACGCACAGCACAATCGAGAGAGATATCGAGGGAGAGAAGGACATCGTGATAGAGAGAGAAAAGAAGATCGAGACAGAGAAGAAGATCGAAAGACACAGGTTAAGATCTCGAACCATGCACCAATGTAAGTATCTCAACCTTCTTCTTCCTTTTTGATTAGCCGTGTCTAAGAGAGAAGACGCAAATCAAACACAGATCCCACACCCGCACCCGTGTCGTGCTGTGTCGACACGGGTACTTCGCTCCAAAGTGCTGAGTCTGCCTAACATAGCCTACCAAGGTGAGAAGACGGTTGCCTATTGGGCTATATAAACTTATGTTTCTCCGCCCATGTGATATTCACAGCGTGCTTTTGATGTATGTTAGATTTTGAATGTTTAGAGCAATGGGCTTTTAACCTAATGGTCATAGGTTCAAGTCCTGCTATACCCAAGCCTACCACTATGAGTAAGGATGCGCTCAAAGATCACTCTTTGGCCTTTATACTCGCCTCGGTGACTTCCAAGAGCAAGCCTTCACCCCCGACCACTTCATTCATAATGCCGAAGCCCTCGTGGTTAGATAGTAAGGTGATTCCTAAAGAGAGCCTGACGTCTTAGCATAAGATTTTAGTACTACAGTTGTGCTTTAAAGGGAAACACCAAGCTAGGAATGATAATGGGCGCCATAAGACGAGATGGTGGGACCTAAAAAGAGATAAACTAGAAATATTTAAGAATAGAATGGATGAAGAAGGTACTTGAGACTTGGAAGATGATACTAACACTATGTGGAACTTAATACGAATTGTATGAGGAGAATCTCAAGGGCAGTCTTTGTAGAGTCGAAAGAAAAGGGACCTAACTCTAAGGAAACTTGGTGGCGGAGGGATGAGGTTCAAGCGGTAGTAAAAACGAAAAAATAGTGCTTTAAAAAGTGACAGAAGGATAGAACTGAGGAAAACCTTAAGAGCTACAGATTGGCTAATAAGGAGGTCAAAAAAGCAGTGAGAGATGCTAAGTTGAAAGCCTATGATGACCTATACACTAGACTAGATAGTAAAGAGGGCGAGAAGAGAATATACAAACTTGTTAAGCTAAAAGAGGTGAAAACAAGAGATTTTAATCAAGTTAAATGCATCAAGAGTAAAGACTCTAAAGTGTTAGTGAAGGATAAAGAGATTAAGAAGGGATGAAAAAAATTATTTTGAGAAGTTGCTAAATGAAGAACATGGAGGAAGGTCAAAAGGGGAGGGAGTAGCCAGTAATAAGCAAAACCAAGACTACAAGTTCTATCGCAGGATTAAGAACTTTGAAGTGGAGATTGCACTTAAGAAGATGAAATCGAATAAAGATTTAGGACTCGATGATATTTCTATTGAAGCTTGAAAATGTTTAGGTAAGAGCGGAGTTGCTTGGTTGACTAAGTTATTTAGCAAAATTTTGTTAACTAGGAAAATACCAGAGTAAAGGAAGAGTATTTTAGTGCCAATTTATAAGAATAATTGAGATGTTCAAAATTGCAATAACTATAGAGAAATCAAGTTGATGTGTCATATAATGAAAGTGTGGGAGAGAGTGATGGAAAATCGATTGCGAGATATAATGAAGGTGTCAGAGAAACAATTTGAATTTATGCCTGGTAGGTCAACATGGAAGTGATCTATCTTTTGAAGAGCGTAATAGAAAAGTTTAGAGAGAATAAAAGAGACATTCATATGGTTTTTATCAATCGTGAAAAAGCATATGATAGAGTGCCTCGAGATATAATCTAGGGGATGTTAGAGAAGAAAGAGGTGACAAAATGATACATTGATGTGATTAGGGACATGTATGAAAATGTGGTGACCACTATTAGATGGCCGACTGGAGAGACAAGTGAATTTTCAATTACTGTGGGGTTACACCAAGGATCAACCTTAAGTCCTTAAGTTTTTGCTTTAGTTATGGATGAGTTGACAAGAAATATTCAGGATGAAATGTCATGGTGTATGCTTTTTGCAAATGATATCTTGTTAATGGATGAGACTAGAGGAGTTAACATTAAGTTGGAGACTTGGAGAGAAGCACATGAATCTAAAGGATTTAGGATAAGCAGAACTAAGACAGAGTACATAGAGTGTAATTTTAGTAATAGTAACAATGAAAATAGAGAAGTGAAAATTGAGAACCAAGAAATATCTAAGAGTGAACATTTTCATTATTTAGGATCGATTATCACAACGGCTAGGGAGATTGGAGCAGATGTGATCCATAGAATTAACACGGGATGGCTTAAGTTGAGGAGTGCATCTGGGATACTATGTGATAAATGAGTACCCACTAGATTAAAAGGAAAGTTCTATAGAGCGGCTATTAGACCAATAATGTTGTATGAGACGGAATGTTTGGACAATTAAGAAACAACATGTAGATAAGATGAGTGTTACTGAGATGAAGAAGCTAAGGTAAATGTGTGGCAAGACTAGAAAAGACAGAGTTAAAAATAAGTATATTTGTGAATGGGTAGGACTAGCACTGATAAAAGATAAGCTGAAAAATAATAGATTGAGATTGTTTGGTCATATACAACGGAAATCAAGAGAGACAGTAGTGAAGAGATGTAACACAGTGACGGTAGAGAGAAGTGTTAGGGGAAGGCACAGATCTAAATTGATGTGCACTAGTGTAGCAAATAGATATATGAATCTCCTTAATTTGACTAACCAAATAGCCTTTGATAAAGTCGAGTGGAGAAGAAGGATTCATATAACCGACCCCATTTGATGGGACTTGAGGTTTGGTTTGATTTGGTTTGGTTAGTTTTCAGTTTCATTAAACACCACCAATCGCATTAACTTAAAGGGAAGGCAGCATGCAGGATTCAAATAGGTGGCATAAATGTGGGAGATGACAAGTTCAAAGAAAGGGATGAGGACGCATGCTTTACCCTACTCCAAACTACAGTTCATAGGTGGATTCTTTATTTACTGCATCTCCTCTAGTAAGTGAGTATTGCTTCCTTTTTCGGTCCTGTAGTGGTGGTAGTCTAGGTTTGAAGTATCTCTGATAATTTTATCCTATTCCAGTTTTCATTAAGGCAGATGTTACTAAGGTGCTTCGGATTTTGGTTTTAAGGACATGGGAGGCTCAATCAGTATTGGACATGTGGTCCTTTAGGGCCTGGTGACTCTGGCCCATTTGAGTCCTTGGAACAAACAGCCACAGTTAGGTGAGGGTGCAGGGGAGCTCGATGCATTTCAAAACTTGACACATGGTGAGGAGCTACCCTCCTCCACAAGGAATGCATACCTTTATAATGACCATTCAAAGCCTGATCAAAGCAACTAAAACACAAGGAAATAAAAATCTTACATCATCATAGACAATTGGGACCACAGCTGGGACCTCAGATGGCATGCCTGCATGTCACTATAGATCGTGGAGCTGATGAATTCATTAGGTTGCTATTTCAAGTATAACAACTTGTCCCAATATACAAAGAGGGAATTATTTGGACAGGTTGTCTCTTTACCAATACATCATCCATTCTCCCTAATTAATCCTGTGTCATCCAACAGAAGCTAATTCATATTGTGATGCTAATAAGAAATTAACACGGATCAGGCAGGCTTCTAGATGCAAGGTCGTCACTTCCTTAAAGCCCGATAGAGAATACCTTCAGTGATGGGCAGAAGGAGTAAGTGCTGCTGCTCATCCTGGTCTGGTATGGTATATATTCATCGATGGAGTAATAAAAACTGGAAGGAATTTGTTCTCTCTTTTCATTTTGAATTTCAGAATTATGATAATCCAAAAACCAGGAGAGTGTGCAGATACTTGATAGATCAAATTGTAAACAAAATCAAATAAGTAAAATAGGCATAACAACTATTAAAGGAAAATCTAGACCAGCCATTTTATGGGTGAAGACACTCCACTTAGCGGCTAGATTTATCTCATCATACTCAATCATAAATTAGGCATAAATACCTGTAGCTTTTGTGCAGATATTCGAGAATCATGACCAATAGAAACTCTCAGACCTCTAGATGCATCAAGCTTCTTCTTGTCCAATAGCCATGCAGCAAAGGCAGCTGCTATTGCTTCGGTAACTGGTTCAGTGAGAGTAACGGGTTCTCCCTCAACACCAGCAATGGCAACACCTCGAATATCACTGTGTGTGTATGTGTGAGAACATTAGCCCATGGAAGCCAATAACAATTATATGCTTAATGAAAGTGCATGTATTTTCTATCCATCATAGATATGTGTATGTATGTATTACATACGATGTTACAACATAGTATAAATATCCATATATAGCATTTCAATCAATGTAGCTCAACTACAAATGACTAAAGCAACACTAAACAGTTAAAAACATGGTTTAAAAAACTGGGTGGTATGTTGCAAACAGGCCAATTCTTATCTGTTTTTAGCCCCTCCAGTTTGGATACACCCCTCTTTTAACGTTAGGATCAAACATCACATGCAAGCTGGCCGGTTCATGACACATACCAGCCTAAACCACAGATTGATCAGGGAACCGGGCACGTTCAAGAAAATATGTAAGTGTTTTATTTTATACTTTTGGGCTTTGGGCCACTATAACTCACAGGGCTGGCCATTCAAGATTGAAGCCCATCCCTACTCATGTTGCTACATTGCCCATGGTTTGAATTTGTAAAAAAACTAATAAAAGAAACACGTTTTCTTACTAATGTTGGACAATAAGAATTGAAAAGCCCAGCCCACACTTTTCCTTAAAACCCAAGTATTAAAGAGAGGAAAACTGGAGCCTTATAACCAGCATAGATGGGGCAACTCCAGGCGATGTGGGACACATTCCAACACATCTTCCTGGACCACAACATACAGTAGCTGGACAAACGGCACACTAATCATAGGCCCAACCAAGTTCTGATACCAAATTGAAAAGCCCAACTCACACTTATCCTTAAAACACAGGTATTAAGGAGAGGGAAACTAAAGCCTTATAACTAGCATAGATGGGGCAACTTCAGGTGATGTGGGATACATTTCAATAATAAGCTCACGGTAAAACAGTAGGCACATTGTGTGCTTATAAAGAGAAGGCAAAAGACAACCAAAACTATATTGAACTAGTGTGGGATACAGGGATAGGCACGCTTTGGCCCTTTTGCTATTCTTCGCAATTTCAAATTCAAGTTGTCAATGTGAGGGAAAAATCTATGTCAAACCATGTTATAGAATTAACTAATATTTCAAAATGAGTATTAAAAAAAAGTGACAAATTAAACAGAGTAAAAAATGCATATAATTGAGTCCTAGAGGTTTACTAACGATTTTAAAAAAATTCACGATTGCAACACCCAATTCTTCATACATAACATTTGACACTCCCGATACCGACACATTGCAACTGATACTGCTACGTATCCCAATACCACAATTTGGAACCATGGTTAAAAACGACCACACAAAAAACCTCAGAAATAAACAATAATAGGCTCCATCACGTTCTTTCAAGCTCCAAAGACCGCATAGACAACCAAGTAACTAAATGGCACACAATTGGTTTTGTCAATTTAGCATGCCCTGTCAAATTCTAATGTTGACAATACTGGCTAATAAGGAAGGACAGAGTACTAAATCAATGAAATTAAAGGAAACAATATATGAAATTAAGGGAAACAATATCAAGGACCGTGTCCTTCTAACTTACTGTCAACAATCTACGGATTCATTCTAATTGTGTAAGTCAAACAATGCTGACAAATGACCAGGGAGTGAAGAGCCTCCAAACATTATTGGTTCATAAACCGCAGTTCAAAGAAGAGATTCAGTTCAAGGATGTAAAGTAAAGCATGAAATATTTATATGAACATATAAAACCCCAAATACCAAAATGCATGAACACATTAGTAAACTAGGTAACAACATTATGACATTCTAAATCCAATGCTCCTCGTCAGTCAAAGAGGTGGATGCCCAACTAGCCAGAATGAATTGAACTAAATGCGGACCATTAGTGTAATTATTTGTCCGAAAACGCATTTTTGTGTTGGCCAAAATGTAAAAATGAAAACAAAGACGAGTAATGTAAAGAACTGGAGCCGAAAGCGGTAAACCACCAAGGAGATAAAAAGAAATTTATATTGAAGATATGCTATAGCAAAACAATTCCATTCCTTCCATTTTGAAGTTTAAGGAAATCAACTTTTTCAAGTGATAGTTCTGCAGTAGTAAATGGAGCAGCTGCAAGAAAAGTTTATCTTCAATTAAAAAATTATAATTGACAAGATCATACCATAGTAAAATAGTAAAATATTTTTCTAGCAACCAAGACTTTCATGTCATAACAAAAAACTCAAAAGTTCTGCTGGAAAAGAAAAGGTTCATGACAACCAAGATTGAACAATCAAATACATTAAGGTTTTTAAGGTTGTCTCCAAAGCTATGATAGCAATTTATAACAACCTGGATAATGAGAGTCTAGAACAGACCGTTGCAGTAAACAGGTCCTCGGTTAAAACAACCAGTCTGATATTTTGAAAAGAAACGCAATTGCATGGTGGAGATGTCAGTCCATGCTAACTTCCCTCCTTGGAAAGGAAGCAAGTTGCGCATATTAGGGGCCAAACAGTCCCTTTGATATTGGGTGCAGAACTGCCTATTCCGATGGTAGCACTGTGCTACCAAAACATTTTGGACAATCTTCCCTGACAATGCTGCATAAAAATTTGCAATTTTATCAGATTTCATATTAGTAGGAGCTTATCAAAAGTTGGAATTATTTATGTGAATTGCAATTTTTTGTTCGATTTTCATTCTTGGTCAGGTTAGGTTGGCAAAGACGTTGACGGACTCGAAAGCAAATCTTAATTGCACTTTTGGTTTCAGAGGTGATATTGCAGCTGAGGATTACATTTATTTAAGCCAAACAAATTACTTAATGAATTAAGATCACGCTGCATATTACTTGATGAGTTAAATTTTTTGAATATTCCAGAGACTCCTAACCAAATCCTAACAGCTGATTTTGTCAAGCTAAGTTCAAGATTCGCTTATGCTTAATTCACTTCTTTTTGTTTTTTAAAGTTTTGCGCACAAAGAACTACACCCGGAAACCCCTACAACAGGGAACTATATAAATACAAAATAAAATTGACTAAAGGTGTAAGGAAGGAACAATAGAAAAAGAGAAGACACAACGTTTACATGATTCGGCCATAACCCCATCACCCACAGGAAGTCAATAGTACTATATTACCTAATGCAAATGAATACATAGATAAAAATCATAATTATAGAACCACAGAGATATAGAAAAGGATATTCAGATATTTCTTATCTCTGACATATCCTAAACTGCTAATCTCCAAGGACAATATTGATGTTTTAAATCTTATGTCTAACACTCCCCCTCAATGATGAGCTTAGGTCATTGAGATATAATCATCGTGGCTGCAACCAAATCTTCAAATAAGATCTTGAATCCAAACCATGAAGAAAACAAATGTTTCCAAGTGCACTGTACTCTTTGGGCATATAATGAAAGAAGTTTACAAGAATTGAAAACATAATCCAATACTTATGGTCACAAAACCTACCACCAAAGACCACAACATGCTTCATATCCTAAACAAATAACTCCGCGGCAAAACAACAAAGAAGATTTGAGAAGGTTAGAAGAACAATCAAATGCATGAGATTTGAAGGATTTTTATGTCATTTTAGAATAAAAATAGATGAAGAATTCATTGAACATAAGGAAGGTGTTAAGTGTTAGGGGTAGTTTGGTCTTTATGTATTATTCTTATTAGTATAAGTAGTTGTGTGTAAGGGGAAAACCCTAAGTTTTGAATCAATAATCTACAGAAGCTTTCTCTTGTTCTATTCCTCCTTCTTCTTCTTCTTCTTCTTCTCATCTATACATTTAACATGGTATCAGAGCACTATCTTCCTCCTTGAAGATTGTTCCTTAGAGCCCCATATTGTTCCTGGTACGTCTGTTACAGCCAGAAAAAAAAATAAAAAAAAATAAAAAATAAAAAAATAATAAAATAATTTACAGTATGCTCGAAATTTAATGGGTAATCACCCTATAATCTCATTTTGATTGTTTGGTCATTATTGATTGAATTTTCTAATTTTTTTGATTTTTCGTCAAAATTGGGTGATTTTTCGAAAATCACTGTTTGACCCTCTTTTTTCTGGTTTTGTCCCTTCTTCTCCTATCCTTGGGAGCCGACTGGAACCCTAAGGGGGTTTGTTGTCCCTGGTTTGATGTATTTTGGCCCTATCTTGGATTTTTATCGCTGTTTAGATGCTCTGCTTCGGTTTTCTGACTTGTAGTTGATCTGGTTGCTCTGTTCTGGGCTTCTTTTGGACTGTTTTAGCCTTAAAAGGTGTTTGGTGTGCTGGTTGGGTGATTTGTGAACTTGTTTGATATCCAACTTGGGTTTTTTGCACCCTCTTTTCTCATCTCATGGCTGACAGCTTGGGTCAGGACTCTAAGGGCAAGGAGGAGAGTGGACTGAGTCGTGGTCTGACTCTTGGTGATAGTCCTTCTCTCCAGATTAGTCCGGTCAAACTTAATGGTCTTAATTACTTGATTTGGTCCCGCTCCTGTAGTCTTGCGATTGCCGCCCGGCGTTTGACTGGCTATATTACTGGTAGTAGTTCCCAGCCACCTACTGAGGATAGTACTTTATCTGCTCAATGGATTTCTGAGAATGCTTTAGTTATGACCTGGCTCATCAATTCTATGGAGCCTACCATTAGTCGGACTTTTCTCTTGATGGATACTGCTCACAAGATCTGGATAGCTACCTCTCAAATGTATTCTCAACAAGGGAATGATGCACAGGCCTATGAATTGCGTAAGACGATTAGGGGTTTGGATCAGAAGGATCGCTCTCTGGCAGTCTACTATGCTGAGTTGAGTGGTTTGTGGCAAGAGCTAGATTTCTACCAGAGTTTCCAGCCAGTTTGCTCCAAGGATGCCACTATGTTTCAGCAGGCTGTGGAGAAGGAGCGGGTGTATGACTTTCTTGCTGGTCTGAATTTGGAGTATGATCAGATACGGGTTCAGGTGTTGGGTCGCTCTCCGTTTCCTACATTGCGTGAGGCTTATGCCCTGGTTCAGCAAGAGGAGAGTCGTCGCAGTGCTATGGTGCATGCTCCTGTTCTGGATCGGTCAGCGATGGTTGTCGGCCCCAAGTCACGTGATACTCCACCTTTTCTGCCTCCAGGTGGTGGTAAGGGTCCATTGGTTGATCGGGACCGGTTGAAGTGTGAGTATTGTGGGAAAGATAGACATGATAAAGAACACTGTTGGAAGTTGCATGGCCGCCCTACTCGAGGCCGTGGTCGTGGTGGTGGTGTTCGTCCTCAAGCACATGTTTCTGAGACTACTGCTAGTGCCTCGAATGATGCTAGTTCTCTTTCCCCGGATGAGCTTCACACTCTCAGACGTTTGATGGCTCGACTTGATTCTTCATCTGCCTTAGCTCCTTCCTCTTCTGCCTCTTCCAACTTTGCTCACACAGGTATTTCTGCTAGTGCCCTCAGTGTTTCTTCGTCGTCTCCTTGGATCATTGATTCCGGTGCTACCGATCACATGACGGGTACTTCTAGTTTTTTCCATTCTTATTCACCTAGTTCTGGGCGAGATAAGGTTAGAGTGGCTGATGGCACTTTATCTTCTATCTCCGGCAAGGGTTCTGTTCATTGCACCTCTTTACTTTCGCTTTCATCTGTTCTTCATGTTCCTAATTTTTCAACTAACTTACTTTCTGTTAGTAGCCTTACTACTGCTCTCAATTGCTCTGTAACCTTTTTTCCGACTCATTGTGTCTTTCAGGAACTGGCTACGGGGAAAATGATTGGCAGTGGTAGAGCACAAAGTGGTCTGTACTTTCTGGATGCCATGCCTGCCTCACCTTTGTCCTCTCAGGCTCTGCAATGCTCTTCTGGCTCCTCCCTTCGTCTCCTTCATCAGTGGCATCGCCGTTTGGGGCATCCTTCCTTTAGCATTTTAGAGAAACTTTTTCCTTTATTAGTTCGTGATTGTCCTAGGAATAACTTTGTTTGTGATGCTTGTGAGCTTGCTAAGCATAAACGTACTTGTTATCCTTCAATTAATAAAAGAAGTACTTTTCCTTTTATGCTTATTCATACCGATGTGTGGGGTCCTTCCCCTGTTGTTTCTACCTCTGGTTATCGATGGTTTGTCACATTCATTGATTGTTATTCCCGTGTGACTTGGCTTTATTTACTTCGCACAAAAAATGAAGTTTTCTCATGCTTCAAAAGTTTTCATAAAATGGTATCCAATCTCTTCAATGCTACTATCAAAATTCTTAGGAGTGACAATGGGACTGAGTATGTTGATGGCGCTTTCCGGGCATACCTCGACGACCATGGCATTCTTTATCAGACTAGTTGTGTTGGCACTCCTGAACAGAATGGAGTTGCTGAACGTAAGAATGGCCATCTACTTGAGGTTGCTCGCTCTCTCTTGTTTACCATGAACGTTCCTAAGTCCTTTTGGGGGGATGCGGTTCTTACCGCGGCTTATCTTATTAACCGTATGCCCTCTAGTGTCCTCCACTTCCAAATTCCTCTTGAGCTTCTTCCTGTGACGTATCCCACTTCTTCTCTTCCGCCTCGGGTTTTTGGTAGTGTCTGTTTTGTTCATCTTCACCCTCGGCCTCGTGGGAAGCTTGATCCTAAGGCTGTCCGGTGTGTCTTTCTTGGTTATTCTGCTACTCAGAAAGGCTACAAATGCTATGACCCTCACTCTCATAGGTTGTATGTTAGTATGGATGTCACCTTCCGTGAATCTGAGTCTTTTTTTCCTGGTCCTCCGCCATCTCCTCAGGGGGAGCGTGGTATCGATGAGATTGCGGATGAGACGGCATCATATCAGCATGAGTTGTCCTTTTTCCCTCCTCCTCAACGGGCTGTTATTTGTGGTGAGGGGGAGCCTAGGAGTTCTGTTGATGAGGAGTCGGATATCAGTGGTCGTTTGGACAGAGCTGATCTTAAGACTTATTCACGGCGTCAGAAAGAGCCGGCTTCTCTTGTGCCACCAAGTCAATCATCATCTCCTATGCCAGTTCCACACCCAGTTTCCACTAACTCTTCAGGTAATGATCCTCATCTCATTTCTTCACCTGTTGTTGATGGTCCTATTACGGAGGACAAGACAAGTAGTTCCAACCGCACCGAGACGAATGGGTAGTTTGGGCCCCTACACATTGACGATATAAACATTTATATTGACGGTGTGAACATTCACATTAAGGGTATTTTGGTAATTATGTCACCCATAGGACTTATTGAAACATAAGAAAATAATGTGAACTAAATGGAACATAAGTAGATGAAAAGGGTATTTTGGTCTTCTTATCTCAAATTGGACCTAATGGAATAGTCAAAAAGAATATGGGTTGAATGGAATAAAACTCCTAGAAAATGGATTTATCAAAAAAGTTCCCAAATAAAAAATATATTTTTTCAATAATTATTTTTTTGAATTGAATTTTAAAAATAGTTTAATTATGAGTTTTGAATAGAATTTTCAATAGAGTTTTGAGTTGTGTGTTTAGTTATGAATTATAAGTTTTTGAATTAACTTTTAAAAACTCTTTTCAAAATTCATATCCAAACAACTTTTTTTTATTTCAAACATTCAAAATTCAATTCAAAACTCTTTTTAAAACTCATAACCAAACAAATTTTCTCTTCATAAATCATGATCCAACAACTCACAAACTCAAAATCCATCACCACTCTTAAATCATAATTCTAAAACTAAACCAAACGCAACCTAAATTTGCCTTCCAAAAATACCCTTCTAGCCTATTTGAAAAAAAAAAATTATATATAATGATGTGGATGAGGCTCGAACCAAGACCTTCGGTTTGGAAAACAAAATATTTACCACTTGAACCCAGGTACTCGTACAAATATTTTGTAAGGCCATCTCCCACATTTAACCAAATCCAACACCAATATATAACCAAATCCAACGTTTTGTAAGGCCATCTCCAACCTACGGCCGGTCTGTTTTGATGACAGCTACAAATTTACCTTTGGAGTGACTGATATCCGAATTCGTGCTTTTTTTATTCAGATTTGATGAAATATTTGGTGAACTGTTGGAGATGCCTAATTGGGAATTTTTGCTTTGGCTAGTAGTTCACGAGATTTGTATGCTTAAAATAACAGAAACCCTAAATTAATCACCAGTACTAAACCTTAATTAAACATAACGAAGTTGATTATGCACAAAGGTAAGATTTAAAGTAATAGTTGAGAGGAAAATAGAGAGATTAAATAACGTATTTTAGAAGTAAGAAATTGAGAGAAGATTCACCTGCCATTTGATGAACGAAATTACTCCAACTGCGATTTGGTCGACGAGAGAGAGAGAGAGAGAGAGAGAGAGAGACAGGGTGTTGAAGCTGATGAACTGATGGGCGGAGAAGCAGAGGAAGTGCTACCTAACTTATGCGTCCACGTGTAATCTGCACTTCATGCCAAAACCGTAATTGTGTTTTCGTTGGCTTGGATTTTAATTTTACTTACCTAATAATTTGAAGAGTAGTGGTGCGCTATTGTTTTTTCTTAGGATATTCATATTTTTAGGACAAATTATACTGACATTCTCTGAAATTTCTGTATAATATAAAATCTCATTTTACATTTTAAAAATTATACTTACTTTGTTAGATTAAAATGATATATTTGTTCTTTAATTTTTATACGTATAAAATAATAAAATAATATTGATATTTGTTCATGTTATTTCAATAGAAATAGCAATTTGCTTTTTTAATTTAACTCACATAAAAAAATTAAATTTTTTTATTTTTCGTATTTTTTTTATTTTTACTGAATTGTTTTAATATTTTAAGTATTTTTTTTTATTTTTTAGATATACATAATCTAGATATACTTAATAAGTATAATATTTTGTAATTTTTTTTTAAATTTACCAAACACAAAAAATATAAAAATACAAAAATTCAGTAACATTGTAATAACTATGAATGACTGTATTTGGTAATACTATAATACATGTAGGTGAATAGACGAAAAAGAAAAATAATGGTGAAAATAAAAATGAAAATTTCTATTCATATATAAAAATTTATACAAAAAATTTCATTAAAATGTTGTGATAGTGATGTTATAAATATAAATTATGTTTATGGTGTGTTTCGTTTTAAAGTGAAAAGTCACCATTAAGCTATATTATTGTATTTAAAAATTTTATATAAAATTTATATTTAGAATTTAATGATAAAAGTTGTAGAATATAGTCATAATGATAAGGATAAGAAATGGTTAAAAAAAAAGGACAAAATAGTTATTTAAAAAAATTTAGGGCATGATATCAACAATCCAAAGGGTAATTTGTGATGAGATTATAAACCTCAAAAATGTAATTTTTCAAACGTAAGAATGGAATCTGTATTTAAACAGAAACCTCAGGGGGTGTTAGTGTAATATATCCTATCATTTATTTATTTAAATTTAAATTTTGTCCAAACATTAAATTTCATTTTCACTTTATTTCCATTTCTAAATTTCTAATTCTAATTTTTCAAACTCTAATCCTAATTCCACCAACCATGCCCATTACCCCAACACCAGATGCCACTCTCCATTTCGGCCGGTAACCTCTGTTACCATCACCTACACCACCTTTGACCACTAACACCTCCACTCTTACTCACCAACCACCAACAATGCCACTACCCACACCACTCTTAGACACTCTTACTCTTTCTCTTTCTCTATCTCTATCTATCTATCTCTCACCAGATCGCAACTATGATCACAGAAGATTAGTGATGGTGGCAATCTACCCTCCTCGCATGATTGTCACGATTGTAGTGTTGCTTGCCATATCCCCGGATTTTGTTTGGTAGTTTAGGACCGAACCACCACCATTTGTTTTGTGGTCTATAACCGAGCAACCACCATTTGTTCAATACTGGTTTTCCGAACTAAGTGAGACGATTTCAAATGAAGAAAAATCAAACACAAACATGTGGAAGAGGGCTCCAGGGTAGTTATATGGGTGGCAGCGATGGCAAATGACTGAGATTAGTGAAATGAGATATCTGGGTGAAAGAAATGAGATAGAGAATCACTGGTGGAAGAAAAGAAATGAAGATGGAGCTATGGAGGTGTCATCGAAGAAGAAAAATTGCTAGTGATAGAGGGGGGCTGAAGAAGGGTCTCTAATGGAGGAGAATGGCTATGAAAGAGTTACTAGTAGAGGAAAGGGGTTGTTAGAGATAGGGGAGATTGACAGTTGAAAAGTGTTGGGATGAGAGTTTAAAGGTATATTTAGGATTATGAAAGGGGTCCAAAGAAAAATAAATTGGGTAGCAATTTTGGTAATGGGACATTTAGCAATTTCCTTATTTTATTCCAGTACTTTTTGGGAATATTGATAGGTGAAAAAAAAAATAAGAGTAAGATTTATAGGTAAATAAGTTTGGTCAATAAGACAGACCTTTAATTTTGAGATTAATCAAGAATTGAATTGATTATATACATTGTTTAGTTCTGAGCTTTTAAAAATATTTTTGAATTTTTAATTCTTACGTTTTTATTCTTAGTGATTTTTTTTTTGAATTTCTTAGTCAATTGTTTTTTAGATGCACCTAGATGTACTTAAAAAATAAAATATTTGTGAATAAAACTTGAAAAATGAATAAAAAAAATTAAAAAAAATGAAAATATACTAAAATTTTGTACTATTTCTTTAATATATTTTTTAGTATTTAATGAATTTTAAAAAAAAAATTCCACAAACTTCGTATGTATATCTAGATTAAGTAAATCTAAAAAGAAAAATTTAGCCAAAACCTCATAGGCCCAACATGTTAGTGTGTAAAGAACAGTTCAAAATATTTTACTTCTTAAACCACTTGAGTGGGAAGCATATTCTTCATGAAGGACACAAAAACAGAGCATTTTGGCCTCTTTTCTCTGTCCTCCGTCCTCCCCCTTTCAAAACAACGGTCTTCTTCTCTCTTGAATAACTAGGCCTAACCCAATCCAAGTTCAAATCCAAGAGGTTTCCCTAGCTTAGCAGGAAATCAGATGTCATCAAGAGTTCAAATTCAATTTACAGTCCAATTCCATTAAAACTTAGTAGTTCATTGAGTTCAATGTTTGATTACAACACCCAAAATGGGGAAAAAAAAAATCCATATCAAAACCAGACTTCTAGGATTTGCAACTCCAACTCCAAGAACTCTCTCTCTCTCTCTCTTTCCCATCAAGACTTCTTCTATGGATACATAGCTTCTAAAGAGATTGAGAGATTAGAGAGATCTGCTGAAGATGGTGGGTCATCGTTCTTCGTTTTTCATTTGTTAGTTTCGGTTTGGTCTCTTCTTCCTTATTATGGTTGCTCATCATAAGATGTACTCTATTTTTTTTATGCCCTATTCATAGACTAATAAGGCTGCAAACGAACCAAGTTGTTCACAAGCTAGCTCGGCTCGGCTCGGTTCAACTCGTTTAGTAATTGAGCCGAGCTCAAGCTCGAATAAGCTTGGATCGTTTTTCTTTATTAAATTATATATTAAATAATATATAAATATACATAAATAATAGCATAAATACATTATCTATATATTAAATAATATAAATAATAATAAAAAAATCTTATCCAGCCGAATCGAGTTGAGTTCAAATTTTATTAATATTAACGAGTCGAGCCGGACTCAAACCCACTTAGTTATCAAGTTGAGCTCGCACTCAATAAACAAGCTCGATAAACAAATTAGTCGAGCTTGAGCTCAGCAAAACCCAGCTCGCCTCATATGTAGCCTACCCTCTATTAGTACCAATACAACAATTAGTATATTAGTTTCAAGGCACAACCAAACAAAAGAAGTTTTTCTTTTACAATATAATATTTTTTGGAAAAAAAATTTGGATGAAAACCATTTTTCGCCAAAACAAACTTAGCATTAAAAGAATTTATAATTTAAATACTATTTGAAAAAGGAAATAGAATAAGAGATGGAGATGTGGCTTACTTGAGGCTTTGTTGGTTAGCTAACAAGACCTTCTCTTTCTTTCCTTTCCTCCACCAAGCTCACTCTCTTGCCCTCTCTTCCTCTCAGCCGAATGGGGTGTTTGTATAAGTGTTCTTGTGTGTAAAATGCTAAGGGAGGGGGTTTACTTAGAATGATTCTACTTACACCACTACTTTACCTCTTTACACTCTTCATATGAGCTTTTTTTTTTCTTCCAATTTTATCCATATTAATTGACTCCAGATCAACACACTCTCTTGTAACTTGTGCATTTGTATCTAGACTGAGTAGACCTCTAGAATCATTGTCATATTTGCTATGTGTATGTGCTCCATCCGGGAAATCTGTGTTGTGTGCATCTGTATACCGATTTTGTGATATGCGTATTGGGAATGCTATTCTGTATGTGGATTTGTTGCCCTTAGACTTTAGACATTTTGATATAATTCTGGGCATGGATTGGTTAACTAAATATTGTGCCACCATTGATTACGTAACGAAACGAGCTGTATTTAGACCTCCGGAACAAGAAGAAATTGTGTTTGTGGGTAACGGGGTAGTGCCTCCACCTTATTTGATAACTGCAATGAAAACAAATAAATTGATCATGAAAGGGTGCCAGAGTTATTTGTGTTGTGTGCTATCTGAACAAATTGTGAATGTAGAATTGAATAGTATCCCTATTGTTAGCGAATTTCCAGATGTGTTTCCAAATGAATTATCGAGGGAATTAGTGGACAGGGAGATAGAGTTTACTATTGAAATTGTGCCAAGCACTCAGCCTATCTCTAAAACTCCCTACAGAATGGCTATTGCTGAAATGAAAGAACTAAAAGAACAGTTGCAAGACTTGCTTGACAAAGGGTTTATTTGACCTAGTACTTCACCATGGGGTGTACCAGTGTTATTTGTGAAAAAGAAATATGGAACCTTGCGCTTGTATATTGACTATTGAGAACTGAACAAGGTAACAATAAAGAATAAATATCTCTTACCTCGTATTGATGACTTGTTTGACCAGTTGCAGGGATCACAAGTGTTTTCCAAAATTGATTTGAGATCCATGTACCACCAGTTGAAAATAAAAGCATGTTGAGAAAACTGTGTTTCAAACAAGGTATGGCCATTATAAATTTCTTGTTATGCCATTTGGGGTGAGTAATACTCATGCAGCATTTATGGACCTAATGAACCGAATTTTTAAGACCTACCTTGATGAATTTGTTGTAGTTTTTATTGATGATATTTTGATACTCAAAGAATAGACTTGAACATGAACAACATCTGATGACTGTTTTGCAAACACTTAGGGAAAATAAATTATTTGCCAAACTAAAGAAATGTGAATTTTGGTTGGATGAAGTTATCTTTTTAGGGCATGTTATCAACAAGAAGGGGATTTCAGTGGACCCGCAGAAAATAGAGGTAATTGTGAATTGGCCTACACCAACAAATGTAACAGAGGTCCGCAGTTTCATGGGCTTAGTTGGGTACTACAGGAGGTTTGTAAAGGACTTTTCAAAAATATATGTGCCTCTTAC